GGAGCCACTGGCGCTGCGCGGGTCCCGGCCGAGCAGCGAGCCGAATAACAGGCCCGGCCGCGGTGCCGCCACGGGGAGGGGCCTCTGCGGCCCAGCTCCGCCCTCTCGCTCGCGTTCCCCCTCCGGCCTGTGCCCGGTTCCCGCCCCAAGCCCCCTCCCCCAGGCGCCCACACCACGTTCCCACTCCACGTCCTCAGCGCCTCCGCCCCTCCTCCCCAGCCCGGGCTCCCCCGCCCCGGGCTCCCCTCCCTCCCGCATCTTGAGTTCTGACTGCGGAGCACCGGGGTGGGGGTTAAGCCCGGCGGCGGAGTCCGTCCGGGTTGCCCCTCGTCCTCTACAGTAGAGGAGGACTGGGTGGACGGGGCCTTGGCCTGTGCGAAGATGTCCTGGGGTTGGGGCTGTTCCCGGACGCGCGGGGGTGTACAAGGCCCGCCGGTGGGGGTGCGTGTATTGGGAGCTCTTTGTGGGGAACACAGCCCAGGTGCCGCCCTCTTGCCGGACCCTTCTTTCCTTCAGGCCCCGGGACTCCAGCTAAGACTAATCACCAATTAAGGCGAAGTCCTGGAGCCCGGGCTGGCAAGGATCCAGGGGTGGGGCGCGGGGACACTCCGCCTGCGGGGGCTCGGGACAGGCTGAGATAGGGGACACACATCGGACTAGAGGGCAAGGAGAAGCGAAGAGGTCTCTGCGATTAAATGGGCCTCATGCAAATTAGATGCGAGCCTTTATGCTAATAAGAGCAGAATAATTTTGAATTCGCCACTTTGCGCAGGACGACAAGCTGTGCCCCACCCCACCCCACCCCCAGCTTCTTACCGGGCTGCAGAGCCCAGGCGAGGACCTCACGTTCGCTCTCCCCTCTCTGATCCCCCTCCGTACAGTCAGACTCTGGCTCAGTACACCCCAGCCCTGGGGAGCTTCTTTTCGGGGGCTGCAGGGACAGAATGGCCGTAAGGAACCCGTCCTCCTAGGTAGCCTTGACCTCCCCCTTCCCCTTCTCCCTCCTGTCAAAATCCACATTGTCATAAAAAGGGTCGCCCAGAATGTGGCTATGCCCTCGTAACGGAACTCGTGCGTTTCTGCGACTGGCCCGCAGAACTCCTGTTTGCGGGTAAATCGAGTTGTGGGATGTAGCCCTCTTGAAGGCCCCTAAAGACCTGAGACCCCGCCGCGGCCCCCGTTTCTTACCCCCTCCTGCCCGGGTAAGGCGCATGCGCGCAGCATGCCCCCCATAACCCCCAGTATCCGGTCAGTGCGGCCAGGGGCGGGGCGGTCCGGGGGCTTCATGCTGGACCCCTACCCTGATCCAAGTTTCAGGGCCGAGGGGGCACGGAAGCTGGGGGGCTCTGAGGCCTGCGCGCGTCCGGGGAGTTGCTGCTGCTGAATCCGCCCCCTGCCCGGCTCCGCCCCCACTCCCACCCCAGCCAAACTTCGCAAAGTGGGTAGGGTTGTTCCTTTCTCTATAACCATAGTTCAACAACAAACAAACCCCTCTGAATCCTGATTCCAACATCGAAGCGTGACCCAGGGCTTCGTAGTGTTATTGCAAAGCCCACTAAGTGTATCCCGTTTCCCCAGATTCCCAGGAGGCAGAGGGACAGCGAAGGCACTTGGGTATTTCCCCATCACCACCCTTTCCCTTCTCAGCGGGTCCTGCTCCCCACACCACCTCCACCCTCACCCTGTCAATGGAACAGAACGGGTGTGGCATAGAGAGTTGCATATTTTACTTTATTTTTATTAAATTAAAAGCTACAGTCTGGCGGGGATTCCAGAACAGGGTAAGGAGGCTCCTTATAGGGGGCAGAGAAGAGCGGGAGAAAGAGAGACTGACAGAGACATAGACAAGGGAGAGAAAGGACAAGGTTAAGGTTGAAGAATTGTATCTGATGAATACACACAAAGCTGGCTCCATGGGGGGCTCACATCAAGCCCAATTCCTCCTCCCCCACACCAGAAGTTCAGCAGTGAAGTAGTGGGTGGAGGTGGGGGTGTCAAGAGACCCTCTCCTCCCCACCCAGGTCCTTTCTCAGCTTAGTCACTGGAGCACAGCACATACCAGAAAAAAGCCAAGGGCAATGGAAGGGGCAGGAAATATGTACATGGGGAGGAGGGTGCAGAACCTCGGAGATCAGCCTCTACCAGAAGGGAGTGGCTCATACTGCACTGAAGCATTTGGCCAGCAGGGGACAAGGGAAGGGATTGCCCCCTCCCCCTCTGAACTCCCTCCCCAGTCAGACAGGTCCCCTATTTGTGTGGTATGGGGAGAAAGGGGGAAAAAGGAGAACAGAGGCTTCCATTGGGTCCTAGTAGAGGATGGCAGGGGCCTTTGCAAAAGGGATCCTTCAGTCATCTGTGATACCCTTGGCTCTCAATTCCTCTTGCACCCGGGTCAGGTAGGTGGGGTCTGGGTACCCAAACCTGGGAGCAAAGAGAAATGAGGGTCGGGGTTAGTGGTTTGGGCTTGCTCATATCATCCCCATGCTCACCCTCATTCTGGGTGGCTCAGTAGAGAGCCCATTCAGAACCCCCTTCCCTCCTGCCCCAAGGGGGGTCCTCCAAACCCAAGATAATTTAGCCCAATTCTGCTAATCTATGTAGGTTAAGCTGGGCACATATGGCCCAGGTAACATGTTTAGGAGAGACTGGGATGGAAGAGACGGTTGAACAACTTGGAGGTGGTCCTCTCCAGTTAGGAGGCTCCCAGGGTGAGGGGGTTGATGTTTCCTCCATGGAAATGGAGAAAAGGGGAGGAGCCAAGGGAAGGGAAATGAAGAGGTGTCGCACAGCTGGGGTCCCCCTGTGCAGCTGGTCTTGTGATGGATGTCGTTCCAGGTGATGACATTCGGTCTCCCTGTGGTCATGGACGTGCCGATAGTGAAGGTGAGACGCTGGTCAAATGCCTTGCGGAACAGGGTCAGCACCTTGTTGCCCTCGGGGCAGTCCGGGAGGTAGGCCACCCGTGTGGTTCCAGGATACCGAACTCCTGGGTTTGGGTGTTCAGCCTGGGAGGAAGGGGAAGCAGAGTAGGCAGTGAGCAGCTGGACATGTGAAGGCCCAGATGCCAATGGAGGGTCATCCTGCCACCCTTCTGCCTGTGCACTCCCAGCTAACACTGACAGGGCAGCAGCAGGCTGACAGCCTTCCAGGGAGGGAGAGACTCTAGGGCCTGGGCAGCAAGAGCCTGTTTCTGGACATAATCCTTATTGCTAAGCAATTCTTTCTGTTGTCTCAATCCCTCAAGTCTCAATTCAGCAACAAATGGATTCTCAGAAGTGATGGAAGATAGATGGTCCTTACTCTCCAGATAACTCAGCAGAAATGTGAAGACTGAGAATAATTTCTCTTTCAGCCTTCCTTTCTCCACCTGAAAACACTCCTGATGCTTCTGAGACCGTCTAACCTGTTCAATTTTTCTATTACTCTTCTTCAGAGCTTCCTCATCCCTCTGCAACCAGAATTGGACGTTCCTTCCTTTTTGACCAGCAGGAGGACACCTGTAGGCCCTTCACCACTCCTGTTTTTACCTTCCACCATCATCAAGGTTTTACTCTCATAAATCTGGAACAGAGTAATAATGCTCAGATCCCTTCTCATGCCTGCCTGTACCTGAGCCACCATCTCCACAGAAGTTACCTCTGCCTATTTGTCAACATCCACGTTCATCAAAGAAATAGTACACAATTCCTTTCCCTCATATCTGATTTTCGTGTGTGCCCTGGGTCATGGGGTTGGAAAAGCTGTGCCTCAAAGGGATCTCCTAGCTCCATGGCACTGGGTAGGAAGGCATACTGGAGACGGCAAGACTGGATCACATCTAACAAACACACCTACCCTCTCCCAGTTTTCCGAGGTCAGAGAATGAGCTTGGGAAAAACCAAAGGGTAAGGGCAAGTCGTCGTCTTCTTACCCCCTGGACACCGGGCGGGAAGACATACTGGATGACAATGGTGCCATACTTCTCATAGCTGGGCAGTAGAAGGGTGGCGTCCTTAGAGACCAGCATCCGCCCATTCTGGGGCTGGTTGCCCACCAGCTGCCCATAGAAGCGGCCACACATGGGGCAGGCCTTTTTCACCTGCAGGGCCCGAGTGATGCAGCCCTCGCAGAATGAATGCCGGCACTTCTCCAATGTCTTGGCGTTCTGGATCTCCCCCAGACAGATGGGGCAGGTGCTCTCCTGCTCTTCTGCCTCGTCCCGGAGGCGGGGAGGAAGAGGAGGGGGCAGGGGAGGAGGAGGAGGGGGGAGCCCCCGTGCCCCTGGGGGCAGGAGGGGGGCTGCTCGGAGAGGGGGCGGGCCTGGGCGGTGCAGCTCAGGGTGCTCCCCCCCACTCCCCAAAGCCAGGCAGCCCATAAGCTCCCCCTGCCTCTGAGCTTTCTTCAGCTCTTTCTCTGCCTCTTTTAGCAGCCCCTTGAGAGCCTTCCGGGCCAGGTAGAGCCCATTGGGAGGAGCCGGGGGAGGCCCCTGTGGGGAAAGCTGGAGAACATAGATGTCAGAAGTCTCGCCATCTATGAGGATGGACACACGGTGCTCCTCCCGAAGCCGGGCCAGCCGGGCTGGGGTCTCTTTGCTCAGGAAGTCCCACACAGGCTTGGAGACAGTCACTTTGTTCTTGCAGGTGCCTCCACAGGCTGCCATTCTGGACAGGACGAACGACACTGCCCCCAGGGTGAAAGGGACTCAGCGTGGGAGGTCCCCATTTGACAAATATCAGTGCTTCCTACTTCAGGGTCCTTCCAAACACTGTATTACCTCTATTCTCTCAAAGTCCAACCCCCAACTCCTCCCCCAAATACATTTTCTATCTCCCCTTATTTTCCAAACCCCAGAACCCATTGAAGAGCAAAAAAGTTTCCATAACTTCATTATCATCTAAGCCAAGCCTCAGTCTTGGTTCTCCTTTCATTTCTTCCATGATCACAAAAACAATCTGCCCCCTCCCTTCCTCTAGGTGAAAAATAGGCTCTTTAAAGGGGAGGGAGACTTTTCGACCCTTCTTTTTGCTCACTTTGATCCTGAAGAGCTTAGAATTGGCATGCAGTCTCACTCTCTCTTTCCCTGCTCCTTACTTGTAGGCTGTGTGACCTGGTGGGGCAGAAAAGAAAAGGAGGGAAATTGAGAAGCCTCTTCCCCCAGTCACCACAAGGCCCCAACTCAACAGCCCATTAACAGAGACAGAAACCTGCATGTAAGTTACTGGAGAGGCATTACTTGGAACATAGAATGAAGGGAACCAATTTAAGGGTGAAAATTGAGGTTCTCTTGCAGGGCAGGTACCTGGAAAGCCCATCGAAAAATATGGCAGCAGAAATCCCGCTATTTCCACACTCAGCTGACCAGGACTGGGGGAAGGGAGGGAATAAAGAGTTGTAATGGCAAATGTTAACATTTCCCCCAGACAGCCCAGAAACAAAACTCCTCTTCCATTTTTCCTCCTTCTCCCCCACAAAATTCCATCCCCAACCTCTCCCCAAGTTGCTGAAGAAGGAACTTCAACGTGCTAACCTTCCTCTTTTCTTTCCCAACTCTGAGGCTTTCAAGAAAGTCTAGTGTGCAGATAAGAGAAGTCAGGAAAGAAAAAGCCCACAGAGATGGAGGTCTTTCTTGCCACCTCCCTCAGATCACATGGACAGGGATATATCCTATGCTCCCTAACTCCTAGCCCTGCTCCACATTCCCAAATAATCCAACCCCTATTGCCAGGAAGGCTTCTTTGAGAGCTAATTTAGTCCCTTCTGCTGAAGTCCTTTAGGGATGTGAACAAAGTGGCAGCAGCCCCTGCAATAACAAAGTTCTCATTGTCACCTTTTAAAGCCAGCACATGCTGCCCTGCCTGTCAGCTTCCTAGTCTAGCATTTAGGGAGGGGCGAGGCTCAAGCAGGGGCTCAGCTGGAAGAGCCTGATGTTTCCTGAGTCTTGTCACATTCAGCGACTGGGCTGTCCCCACAACACCTCCAAATGCAGCTCAAATAGAAAGAGGACCATTAGTGTGACCTCAATTTCTTGAATGATCCAAAAAGGAGCGGCTGTCCGTTTGTGCCTCCGTCATAGTCCCCTCAAGGCCAGATGCACCTCGAGATTCAGAAAGTGACGCTGGAACCCTAGAGCCTCAGCCCATACACAGTTCCACAGTGGAACACCCCCCCTCCCCATCAAAGAGGACCCAGGACCGAGGTGTCCTAGCTCCAAGTCCTGCTGGCACAGAAAAGGGAGGCGGGGCCACAGTTTAGTCTGGGTCTGTGGTTCCTCTGGGGCAACCCAGGCCGGACACGGGGCCAGTCCCTCCCTCCAAACAGAGGCCGGCGGCAGGGACAGCCAGGAAGGGCAAGGGTCCCTGGGGACATCCACAGAGGCAGCTGCACCCCTCCCCCCAAGACCTCCTCCAACACCCGACCAGGAACCAACTCCCCACATCCCCCACTCGCCGAAATCCCCGAGTCCCCCACTGGGTGGGGGTGCATGTCGGTCCAGTCGCGGCCCTCAGAACCCCCAAATAGAGGCCAAAGCTGGAGGGTGCTAGAAGATGGTCAGCCGGGCACGGAGGGGGACCTCTGGCGCCACTCGCGGAGGGAGGAGGGGGTACAGGGGGAGCTGGGGGCGTGCGAGGGGTGCGAGCAGGACCGGGGGGCGCGCGGTGGGTGTGGGGGGCGCCGGGCTCACCTACCTCTCGTCAGCGCCGCCATTGCCGGTCACATGACTGAGGCTGTTGCTGGGATGACGGTCCGGGCCTTAGCAACAAGGGGGGGGGGGAGACCCGGGGAAGGGGGGGGGTTGCAGGGGGTGCAGACTGAAGGAAAGGGAAGGAGGGAGGATAGCACCCCTTTCCCCCTCAAAGGTGATAACCACCGTTTCCTTTGACCCCTTCTATCCACGAGCTCCTGCCATTCCTCCCCAAAACAAAAATGGAGGCGCCGTCCCAGTCTTTGGAGGGAGGGGGTGGCGTCATGTCAATGAGGGTAGGAGGTTAAATCCCTTAGAGACACCACCCTTCTCGCTCCCTTTTCTTTCCCAGTCAGCTGCGTGGCAGCTTGTGAGAGCTGGTGGTGGGTGGGTGGGTGAGGAGTATCGGTGCGTATATGGGGATGGGGGGGGGCAATTTTTTGAAATCTCTATGCTAGAAGGGCCTTTGAGGAACAATGTGGGATGGAAAGAATCCTAGTAAAAAGAAAAGCATTGGTTCTAAAAATAAACAAACAAATCCCAGTACTAAACTATTTCAATCCTCTCCCTCATCTCTTGCCTCTTTCTAGATTGATGTCTTCTGTGACCCCCACAACTTGCTCCCAGATGGCTATTGGTAAGTGCCTCTGATTTTTCTCTTTCCACGAATAGGGATACTGAGGTTGTGCAGAATGGGAAGTGAACACACTTTTTAAAAATGACGGGGTGGTGGTGGCGTCAAGTATATGGTTTAAAGAGTTAAAAACTCTCAAAGGAAGAAAAAAGCTCTGCTCTGCTTCCCATATCAGAGCAGTCTCCACCTTCAGTCCAACTCTCTTCCCTGGGGCCACATCAAGCCAGGTTTTTCCACCAGCCAAAAGGCTCCTCAGCCAAAACATACTGAATCTCCCAGACTGGCAACAACTTCTATTCATCCACCCAATTTTCACTCCCCCTCCGGACTGGAGGGCTGGTCACTTTCTTCTTCACTTTCCCAGGACCCTGCTGTACGCTTCCCGCCCTCCAGGCAGAAGACAGCTTTCCCAGGAAGCCTGAGGGAATACTGAATTCCTTCTCTTAGCTCATGGGTTGAGAGGCCCACTCACCTTTATGGAGATGGAGTGTGATCAAGCCCAGAGCCCCGAGGGAAGAGGAAGGGTCACATCAACATCATCCCACTCCTCCCCAGCCCCCACTACTGCTTAACTCCCACAACGTCTTCCATTCCCATGCACACCCCTCACAACCTTTTTACTTTACAGCCATCTTTTGTAGAAACCCACATCCCTAGCTAGGGGCCCAACACCTGGAAGACCAGAATTCTTCAGATGGTCTTTGCACCCCTAAGCACAGGCTTCCTCAGAAAGTTAAAAAAAAAAAAAAAGGCATTTCTGTGAAGAAATTTGGAATTGAATAATTTATTTTCTGTATTGTATTGTGATAGTAATTGGAGTAAACACGCAAGATCTTTTATTTTTTTTAATTAATAAAACAAAGATGTAAAACAGAAGCAACCAATGAAAAAGACCATACTGCCCATGAAACATCAGCCCCATGGTCAGAAAACCCATTTCTGAAGAACAGTTGCTGGTGTCACAAAATTTTATTGCATCCAACAAGGGAAAGATTGGAATGAAAAAGATCAATCAGGCCCCTTACAGGAAAATATTATAGGGGCTCCAACTCCTAACTGGGCACTCTTCTAGCTACACCCTTTAGAGCAGATGAAGGGAAGAGAGGGCTTCTCATGACCTCACAACTTCTTGTGAAACAGATCAGTCCAGCCAGATACACTGCAAAGCACTGTTCCCCCCCCACCCACAGGCCAGATGCTGGTGCCCATCTTTATGTTTAAAAAATAATAATAATGATAAGTGGAAGCCTCAAGGGGGATGGAGTATAGCAAAAAGAATGGGCACCTTAGCCCCAAAGGCATTGGGGCTAGGGGAGGACATCTTTCTCATCTCTTCAGGGTCCTCTGTATTCTGGGAAGATCACTCTTCAACTCAACTATCCTAGAGGGGGCTCTTAGCCCCAAAGGCATTGGGGCTAGGGGAGGACATCTTTCTCATCTCTTCAGGGTCCTCTGCATTCTGGGAAGATCACTCTTCAACTCAACTATCCTAGAGGGGGCTGACGGCTGACTCCTCTCTGGGGGTGGAGCGTGAAAATGACAAAGAAGGCCATCTGTCTCTTGGGAGACACAGTAACAGTATTAGATGGGACAGAAGAGAACAGAATGATAACAAATCCAACTGGAAAAAGGGTTTGAGAAGGGGTGGGGGAAGGAAGTGTGCTAGGTGCACGCATCCAGGGAGTGGGGGAAATTCCCACACTTGAGGCCTTCGTCCTCTTGAAATGACCAGACTTGACCCAGGTAGAGATATTCCTGCCGGCTAGGAATAAACCTCTGGAATGGTTAGAGAGGAAGAAAGGAAACTCAACATGGGGAATGAACCCTACCAGCCTCCAGAACTGGCCACATACCCACTGAAGGGTTCTAGTCCAGGAGAGGTATGAGGTTCTGGTGAAGAGCAGCAATAGTCAAACACCTTCACACAAGCTTGAACACTTTTGGCCGTCTCTGGGCTCCTGCACCCTGAAGTACAGGTGGGTAGGGGTGGAAGTGGGGTGATGGAAGAGACTGGAGAGTAGTCAATCCTTGACAGAGACCTTCTCCAATTTTCTGCATAATCACAAGAGTCCTCTTAAGTCCCACCTCTATGAGGTGCCAGCCTGCTGACCACTCTCCAGTCCACCTCTGTAAGATTGGCCATATCCCATCATGCATGTGCACGCCTACACCCATATCTGTATTATCTTGAAAATTCTCCATCCCAGGGCCTACCAGGAGAGAAGCACACCACAGTGAGTTCTATAAAGTTATCAGCAAAATTCAGACATTCTTAGTTCATGTCACACAGCAAAGTACATCCAGAGTAGTAGCTTGAACCAGGTCCAGCTGTCCAGTCAGGTCCCGAAGATGGCAAACGACCCCCTTCCCCCAGCTCCTCCTACTTACAGAAACAACAGGACATTTTACAAAGATCAAGGCACTTGAGAGAGAGTCAACAATAACACTCTAAAGAAGTAAGCAGACTTGTTGGTGGGGGGTGGGTAGGGAGAGAGGGAAGAAAAATGGACAAAGGGGAGAAAGGACAATGTATTTCTGAGGGCCTGGAAAAGCTTAGTCAAGAAGATGGACTTATTTGGATGGAAGGAGTCTGCGACCTGAATTTAGCAAAGGAGGAAGGGAAGTAGTGGCCAGAACATCCACAATTCCTCCAAGCCTCTCAGAACCCCACCACCTTGAACATAAAGAGCAGTCACCATGGAGTCAGGCAGTCTCTTAGGCAAAGATGTTGGTAATAAAATCCAGGAATCGCTTAGCATACTGCTCAGGATGGACAGTAGAGATCTCTGCCCCAGCCTGTGAGAGGAGGTATGAAACAATGTGTCAGACCTCCCCACCACCCTTCCCCACCCTCCATTTCCAGACCATTTCCATCCTTTTGCCACCCCATTGCTCTGGCACGAGCAGCTCTCTCTTCCCAATGAACAGTCAAGTCAAAATAGAAAAGGAATGGCTTTAGGGAACTCTCACCCCATGCTTGACGGTTTTGGCTGCATGAGCTGCCTTCTTCTTGGCATCATACTGTGTCAGGATGTCAATGAGGCCCATGAAATACACCTCCTTCTGGGGGGCCCCTATGGAGAGGGAGACCAACAATGAAAAGCAGGTATAATCTCAATTCCCTTTCCACAGAAACCAGTCAGTTTTGCTCTGAAAAGCTAACTAGCCTCTCCACCCACCACCCTGGTCTCTGTTCCCCAAGGACAATCCTCTTCCTCTCCACCCTTAAAATTCCCAGGATCTCCCTTACCCTCAGCACTCCGGATGGCATAGACGTCAATGAAGGACTCAAACTCTCCAGGGCCCAGGGGCCGATGGGAATGGATGTAGCCTCCGATACCCTCAGGGGAGGTACCATAGGAGCCCACCAGAGCAGCAGGTCCGGTGGTCAGGGTACAGTCCCCGTCCCCTTCTGACTCGTCCTCCCTCACAGGCCCCTCCTCCTCTGGTTCAGAGCCCCGAATGATGTCGTGGATGCCCAGCAGAAGGCTGTAGTCCATGATCTTCAGCTGTACTAGAAACTGAGATCCACTGACAAGTCAGACATCCCAGATCTCCCTCCTCACTCCCAGGTCCCACCCTTATACCTCCACCCCTGAATTTTGGGGCCCTCTTGGGGAAAGGAAATGTAAAAATAGAGGGTGGTGGTATACCACTGCCCTTTAGTGCCTAAATGCCCTAGTATCTAAGATCATCCATTGAAGAACTGGCTGGTTAGCTCACTCGGGAGAGTGTAGTGCTGATAACACCAAGGCTAAGGGTTTGGATCCCGTACCAAGCCAGCCACCAAAAAGATAAATAAATAAAATAAAATAAGATCATCTGCTTAGCTCATTCCAACTACCCCTTCCCTCTATGGGTCACATCTAGGGGTTTTTCATGTCTCATACCCCACACCCCTACATGCAGAAGACCCAAAGAATAAAGGGAAGGGGAGAAGTTCCCTCATATTCTGAATGGAAGAGACAACCAGCCTGTGCAGAGCATTAAAAAAGGAAAAAAAGAAACCCATTTCCCAGAGCACCCAGTCATCACCTCTACATCTCTTTTTAGCTTCTCTAGAAATACTTTCTTTTCTTCTTCACCAATATAAACTTTCTGGTTCTTGTTGAGAAAGTCCATATCCTTAAGGGTGGGCAACTCTTTAACCTAAGAATAGGTAAAGGGACATCATGGGAATATAGCCCTTCTCCAAGGTCTCAGAGAATGCTGCCTCTTGTCTAGGGCTCTATCTCTAACTCGGTGGCTTCTAAGGAGAGAGATCTTATAGCCCCTCTCTCATCTGACTCCATACTGTGATGCTGCCCCAGACTCATTCACTGTAGCTGTACCCCAAATCACATCCCACTACTTTCTGCTTATGGTTTCAGTCAAGACCTTCCATGCTGACTTTTCTTTCTTCTTCTTAAGCAAAAATAGCTGCTTGAATATAAAAAGCCCAGAATGGGAGGTAGAGGGTAAGTATTTTGCTTTTGAAGTCTGGCATCCCCATCCATCCCCAAATCTTCCACATGAAATAACCCATGCCAGTGACAACGCAGCTGCTCCCAACTGCCCCACCCAAGCCATCCCTGGATCAGTAGAAGTTTACATCTCTCTTCTTTTCAGTGGCTCAAAATTTAATTTAAGAACAAATAGCTTGTGATCCCTATCCCTTTATGGAGAATAGCCTCTTCACCCTAAGAAGATCCCTTTCATCTCCCCTCCCCCATCCCTCACCCTATCACCTAAGTTAGTATCACCTTTTCCTTATCGCTGGCTTCCCGGGACACTAGGGAACCCTGTGGAGAGATCCAAAGACCAAGTCAGCAGAAGTGGCTAAAAGAACAGTCAGGACCCAGCTCCTCAGATGAGTACTGCTACAGATTAGATGCCCCACCCCCACCTCATTGAGGGGTAATATCCCCATTGTTAACTGCTGAGGGTGGGAAGTCCTATTATGGTAACTGAAAAGTGGGTAACTGAAAAGTATGGTAACTGAAGAGGTGATTAGGTTATAGGATCATGCCCTAGTGAATGGATTAAAAATGGTGGCCAGCAGGACTGGCTAGTTAGCTGAGTTGGTTAGAACACAACGTTGCTAACACCAAGGTTGAGGGTTCAGATCCCAGAACTGGCCAGCTGCCAAAAATAAAAATAAAAAATAAATAAAAATAAAAATGGTGGCCAGGGGCGTGGTTCTTAGGGCTTTAAAACGGGAGCATGAAGAATCTGTCCCACTCTCTGCTCCACCATTTTGCAATGTGATACGCTACTATCGCCACCACCAAGGCCTTCACCAAATGTGTTCCCTGGACTTTGGACTTCCAGCCTCCAGAACTCTATGCAATAAATTTTGTTTTCTTTATAAATCACCTCGTTCCAGATATTTTGTTATAAAGAACAGAAATGGACTGACACAAGTACTCAAACCCAAAGCCTTCTTTCCTTTAAAAGGAAGCATCCTATGCCCTCCCAGGCCCTTCCCCATTCTCAGGCCATCAGGAGCCTCCCCCTAAGCCCTATCTCTCCTCTTCTTACCTTCAGGTCATACTTCCTGTGCACAGGAAGACGGTGGCTAAACATATTGCGCATCACAAGCATGTAGCTGTCTTCATTGTCCACACTGACTCGGTACATCCCCAGGAACTGGGGCAGCAGCGTGTTGCCATGGCACTTCACAATGTACTAAGGTGGAAGGGGAGAAAGGAATGGGGAGAGGCTGAATAGCAGATACACAAACAGTCCAGGGATGGGAATTCAAACACTACCAATCCAGGGTAGGGCAGAAAACTTCAAGTAGAGAGATTACAAGAAAGTCAAATGTGGTGGGAGCTTCCTAAAAATGCTCCTGGTTATCCACGCAGTTTCTGAATCCCCATCTCCTCTGATTTCTTCCATCTGTATGATGTCTTTTAATTTTAAAGTGCCTTCTCTATTTTCACCTTTATCATTCTTTGAGATGGAGGAAGGTTAAATGTTGTTATTCTTATTTTAGACCCTCTCTATATGCAAGTGATCACAGAACCAGGATTAGAACTCCCATTCGCTTTATCAATGAAATGATTTTTACCTAGACCAGTGTTTCATTTTTGTTTTTGGTGACTGGCTGGTACAGGGATCCAAACCCTTGAACCTGGCATTACCAGTACCATGGTCTCTCCCAAGTGAACTAACCAGCCAGCTTAAATCAGTGTTTTTTGGTGGGCTAGATTCCCATAGTAAAAATGTCTACCTGATGGCCTATAATTTGGATTCTTAAAAAATTACTCCTCTTTCAACAGTTACCATCTTTCTCTCTCTGTTTACCTCTCTTTATAGTCAACCTTCTTAGAAAAGTAATCAGCAATCAATCCACTTCCTCTCTCTCATTCACACCTCAAACCACTGAAATCAGATTTGTTTTCCTCTGAAATCTCCCTCAAATCCCTCCGTTGCCAAATCCAATGGGTATTGTAGTCATTGTCATATTTTCAACTGTGTGGCACTTGATCCTCTTGACCAGTCTTTTCCTTAAAACTCTCCTCTTCCTCAGATCCCATTACACCGCTCTTCTGATTCCCCTCCTCTCTGTCCTCAAATCCTTTAGGGAATATAGTAGGGCACTGATAAAGGAGTCCATCTACTCTTAGTCTCCCTTATAGGCTCTTTTCTCTACTTGCTCCTTAAGGTTCTGTCTTCAGCCTTCTTTTCATTTCACTCCACACACTTCCCTCAATAATATTATCTACAGTCATGGTTTTATTTTTAATTTTAATTTTAATTTTAATTTTTTTTAAAAAGATGACCAGTAAGGGGATCTTAACCCTTGACTTGGTGTTGTCAGCACCACACTCTCCCAAGTGAGCTAACCGGCCATCCCTATATAGGGATCTGAACCCGTGCCCTTGGTGTTATCAACATCACACTCTCCCAAGTGAGCCACGGACCGGCCCTTACAGTCATGGTTTTAATGACCACTTATTCATGTACAACTCTCAAATCTATACTCCTAGTCTAATCCTCTTCCTTAAATTCCAAACCCATATACCAATCACTTACTGGACATTTGTATCTGGATGAACAGCAGAAATCTCAAACTCAACATGTCCAAATCAGAAATGTCTTCCTCCAAAAACTTGTTCCTTTCTGTTTCCCAGTTGTTGGTGAATAGGCACCCAGTTATCCATAACCAGTAATTTGGACACTACTTTACCTTAGCTCCCACAATTCTCGCACAAGTTTTCCTTTCCAGCAGCTCTATTGCCACCACTCCTCCAGGCTCTCATCATTTCTCATCTAGACTATTAAAATTACCTCCTAACTGGTAAATGCACTCCCAGTATTCTCCCCTCTCCAATCCATTCTCTAAAATGCTGTCACAGGGATATTTCTAAATAACATGTATATCATTCTCCTGCAAACTACCTTCAGGATAAAGCCCAAACTTCTTTGTATGTCTTACAAGCCTCTTCACGATCTGGCTCCTGTTTAACTATTTTCCACAATACTATATCCTAGCCACACTGAATTTCTTGCAGTTCCCTAACACCAAACTCTTTCATGGCTCTGTGCCTTTACAAGTGCTGTTTTCCTTCACCTAGAATGATCTCTTCCACTTTGTCCAATGATTAACCCCTACTAGTGCTTCAAGAGTCAACTCCTATGATATCTCCTCTAAAAAACTCTTTGAGGGCTGGTCCATGGCTCACTCGGGAGAGTGTGGTGCTGATAACACCAAGGCCATGGGTTCAGATCCCACATAGGGATGGCTGGTTTTCTCACTTCAGAGAGTGTGGTGCTGACAACACCAAGTCAAGGGTTAAGATCCCCTTACCAGTCATCTTTAAAAAAAAAAAAAAAAAAACTCTTTGAGACTCCCAATTGTACCTACTTCCCCAGGTGAGTTAGGATGCTCTTTTCTGAACCCCCAGAACATTCTGTACATACCTCTACTACTGCACACATCTTGCTGTGTGTTAATACTGGTTTACTGGTCTCTGACATTCGATCAAGAGATCCTCAGGGATCACAACTGTTTCATTCACCTCTTTCTCTGCTGCCTAACATAGGACTTAGTAATTACAGACATTCAATATTTGTTGCATAAAACCAAAGACTCTTTTTAGAGTCTTTTGTGTATTCCTTGCTTACTGATTTTGGTGAAATTTTCTTCAGTAGAAAAACATTCAGGAAGAGTGTTTCTATCACCAAAACATTCCATAAACTCCATATTCCACATTAATCTGATCAGAAAGAATAGCTTCTCTAATCCCATTTAGAGCTGAATATGATTATGGATTTTCCCCTCAAATTTATCCCAATTATGCCCTTATCCTAGTTTTCTCCCCAAACTGCATTTATTCCTTTTTTTTTTTTTTTCTTCCCTCCCCTCCCCAAAACTGCATTTATTCCTGATGGTATACTTGATGTTAACACTTCACTGAATTCTGACTTAATCTATAGTTTATATTTTTCTACATATGTGCCCTTTATGTACCAATCCACAATGGTTTTAGATTGTAAGTACCCAATAAGGAAAGAATACATCTAAACTCTTCTCTTAAGTAAAATACAAATAGGTATACAGAGGCTTTTTTAAAAAAAAATTCCTAGTTTCAAAAACATATCAAAAACATGGTATCAAGTGCTTGTGGAGAAAAATGGTTTGCAGGGAGAAAAGGGATAGGAAGTCTCCCATGCACTCTGGCAGCTGAGCTATGTAGGAGTACGGAGGAGAGGGAAAGAATAGGGCTAGAGAGAGGCCTGACCTGATGGTAGTTGGAGAGGTTGCTATGCATGTCAGCAATGTCCTCACTGGATACTTCTTTGATGACCAGAGTCCGGTCGTAGGAGATAAGGAAGCGACCATCACTGCCTTCACTTTCACTCGGGGGGCTTCGGGTAAGGGACACCTAAGGACACAGAATAGGCCAGAGGCTCTTTCCCTCCCCCTTTATTTATTTATTTATTTATTTATTTATTTTTAAAAGATGACCGGTAAGGGGATCTTAACCCTTGTCTTGGTGTTGTCAGCACCACGCTCAGCCAGTGAGCGAACCGGCCATCCCTATATGGGATCCGAACCCGGGGCCTTGGTGTTATCAGCACCACACTCTCCCTAGTGAGCCACGGGCTGGCCCCCTCCCCCTTTATATGGAGACACACGTCATAGGATAATGGCCAACTGAATGTGGATGAAACCTTGGGGTAAGAAATTGACCAGGTGTTCTCAATCTGGTGTCCATATAAGAACTGAGTGAAATCAAATACAAAATCCTTAATGTATCTTCATTTTTTCCCAAGGACAGAGTTTATAGTTTTCATTAGATTTTTTTAAGATGCCTGTGACCACAAAAAGGTAAAGAATCATATCTTCCAAGGCTCTCATTTCTCTAAACATGACTGTCCCAAGGACTCTCCAGCTGCTAGAAAGAAAGGATTACCCTCACCCCATAATGGACTCTCACCAAGTAATCCTGGTCATCAATGCCAAATCGATCACGGAGGTTCCTGAAGACCTGGGGACAATACTCCTTGAACTTGAAATGACTGGGCAGATTTTCCCTGGAATATGGGTTTTCAAGGTAAGAAAACAAAATAACATTACCTTATGTTTATATAGGGCTTGACAGCTTACAAAGTACTTTCGCACATATTACTTCACTTGATTCTCATAAAACCCTGTGAGGTCCTTTAAAGGTATATTATTTCCATTTTATAGAAGGAAAGACTGTGTCTCGAGGTGATTTAGCAGCCTGCCTGAGTCACATGGCTGGTAAGTAGAGCCAGGATCTATTACTCTTCCAAAGAGCAGCATTTCTCAAATCCCAAGCAGTTAGGGACATCCTAAAGTCGGCAATAGGCACCACTGTTTTGGATGGCATCTTCTAACACTAGGAGGGCTTAGAGGACTCAGGTATTTCTTTCAGGGAGTCCCTATCAGAAGCTAATGGTAATGGCAACTGAACATATTTACCCTACGGAATTGCCAGGCTAGAGGAGAGGTAACATTGGTACATATATGGGTGTAGGGAACATTGGAAATTACTTTAATGGTTTCTTTGCACAAAACTGAATTCCTCCATTGGGAATAACATTAGACCATGCAACTTGTAAGTTGCTTTCTAAAGCTAAAACCTTCAAATCATTGAATCTTTCAAAATTATTTATTACTCTTGTCTAGGAAGGGTGACATGAGAAGGGCAAGGATCCCCACTTACCTATGGAAAAGGTGATTGTTGACCTTGATCTTGGAGCTGGCCTTAAAATCATCTGGCAGCAGCATCACTGGAGGAGGCACCTGGCTGAGCTCATTGATCTGATAAGCCAAAACATGAACCGGGAGGCAGTGAGTGATGGTGTGAAGAGCTACTCATACACTGTCTGGGCAGAAGTCAGGAAAGGGAAAGGGCAACTCAAATCTCTTTCCTTTAAAAACACTGCTATGCATATGCTTGACAAGTGAGAGAATGTGTTGAACTCCTGCTGCTGCCTAAGGAAGACTGCAGTAAGCAACCCTCACACACAGCCACTCACACTCCTGCCCCCGTGGAACTTCATGCTCACAACAGTCATTTTATATTAGGCAAACCCTGTAAGCAATGCAGGATTATTTTTAAAGCTGTGAGAAATTCTAAGGGAAAAAAAAGAACCTTCTGCAGACTCAAGACAGTTACATGCTTCACTTTTTTTTAAGTGCACAAGGGATTAATGGGACTCTTGAGGGGCCAATAGCAGCAAGAAGAATGAAATGTCTATTTCCTGTAACAGGTATCTCCTAACAAACAGGACCAGTCCTTCCAGACCACTCTGACCCAGTTCTCTGCAGTAGGTCCCCACCTGCCTAGGTGTAAGATAAAGGAAGAGCAGCTGCTTACAGACGGAAGGCAGGCAATCAGAGGGTATGAGTTCATTAGGCCTCTGTTCCCTAAAGTTAAGCCAACCCACAGCCCAAAGGATGTAAGCATTGCTTGCTCTCCTCAGCCCCCAGGATCTGCAGTCTGCTCCAGTACTTAGAAATCCTGAGATGTGCTTTCTCCTTGCTACAGTATCTTTCACCCACCTTTAACAGTGCATGTATCACATGACTCTAATCACTAGTTTATGTAAATTCCCCCACCTAAATTGTGAGCTCTTCAAGAGCAAGGGCCCATTCTAGTCATCTACATTTCTCAGGTGTCCAGCTAGAACAATATTTGGCACATAGTGGTCCTGAAGTGTTTATTAACTAAATAAACGAATGCCTTGCCTATACTTATTTGATCACTCCAGAGATTGCGAATTGCAGTTTAACCTAAATCCCACACACTGCAGTGCACTCAGCTCCTCCTGTTCTCAGTAGAAAAGGAGGACAGAACATATTCCTCCAGGGGAAAAAAAAAAAAGCCACTTGCGATTCTCAGCCTAAAATTCAGCTATAGCTCTTCCTGCCCCCTCCTTGCCACCTGCTAAGCAGGCTGAATCATCACTAAGACATATGTTGGAGGAATTTCTCCATTCCAGACACTTGAAGTAGATGTGTGTTGGCTGGAGAGTGGGGTGCTGGGGCTAAAGTATATATACCCAGGGAAGCTGAGGCAGGTCTTACATGTAATTCCCCCAATCCTTACCAAAGGAAAACCCTCCCTGTTAAGCTTCCCACAGAGATGGATGAGTCACCTGGAAGGTACATACGAGAGGCAGCCCTACCTCCATCAGCCTTGCCCATACTAAGTGTCTTAGACTGGATACTCGCTAATATGACATTACCACCCACAGCCACAAGTGCAAAAGGGAGCCAAGTGACCCCAAACAACATTCTAAACCACAAATTAAGACTGTGACAAAAAGCTGTACTCTTCCTTGCTCCCTTCCACCTCCACAACCTTGCCATGACTATATTCAAGGAAGTTGATTTCTAAAATATTCCCTGCCACATTCAAGATCACTGCATCCTTCCCACTCCAGATCTGAGGGAAGAGGGGCAACGGCTGTGGTTCCTTCACCTGAGGTATCCTCAGGAAAGGAGATGTATTGGCTTCCTCCTGATTTCCAGGCCATACCCTCTAGAGTAGTTTCCTGCTTCTAAAGTTCACCACCATAGTGGCCCCAGGACCAGAACTCCTCGGCTTTCTCTTTGGTCAAAAACGACCCCCACTTACACCAAACACCATCACTCCAGTCAGCAGTGGGGATGCAGTTAAGACTAAAGGCATATACACATAAGTCCTGAGTGAGTGCAACCTCTAGGCTTAGGGTGGGGTAGCTTCTCTGAAATGCTGTACCTCTGGAAGAGAAAGGAAGGGACAAGCAGAATAAAAAGGTCCAGGAAGCCTGGAGCTTCCCACACACAAACCCAAGGTTCCAAAGCCAAGGACCGGGGCTGGAAAGCAAGGTGGAAAGTGAACAACCCCCTACATCCAGCTACCCCTCTCCACGCCCCCCGCCCCGAGACTTCACCACCAATCCCAAGAGTCACTCTCCCTAATGTTCTTCCTGCTGGACCAGGATCCAGGCCAGTCTCCGTAGCCTGGGGCTGAGGCTAGACCTGTTAGGAAGAAGTCAAGAAACAGAAAGCTGGATCTCAGGTGAGGAAGGTGGCAGTGGAGTGCAGAAGTAAAGGGCGGGGGGGGGGG